TTTTTCTGTTTTTTTGTTTTTTTGAGGTGGAGTCTCACTCTGTCACCCAGGCTGGAGTGAGTGGCGCGATCTCGGCTCACTGCAAGCTCCGCCTCCCGGGTTTACGCCATTCTCCTGCCTCAGCCTCCCGAGTAGCTGGGACTACAGGCGCCTGCCCACCATGTCTGGCTAATTGTTTGTATTTTTAGTAGAGACGGGGTTTCACTGTGTTAGCCAGGATGGTCTCGAGCTCCTGACCTCCTGATCTGCCCGCCTCAGCCTCCCGAAGTGCTGGGATTACAGGCGTGAGCCACCACATCTGGCCCAAAGGTTCTAATTCTTCTACATCCTTGCTGATACCATTCTCTGTTTTCTTGATAGTGTCCAGCGTAATGGGTGTAATATGATATCTCATGGTTTTGATTTGTATTTCCCTTATAAGTATGACTTTTAAAACTTTTCTTAGGTAGTTTAGTTTTTATTCTTATTTGTTGTATTTGGTTCTTTTTAAGTGTGCTTGACCTTTTTTTTCGTTTCAGATTTTATGTTTCTTGTTCATATTGTTTCTTACAATATATTAAACATATATATTTTGTATTCTATGATAATTATGACATTTATAGTCCGTGGGTCTGATTATGCTGTCCACTGTTTCTGCTGACTCCCATTCATGGTGCTTTATTTCCTTGTTTACTGTTTTATTTCCTTGTTTACTTTATGACTTTTTTTTTTCCATAATGTGAATTCATCTTTGGAACTGTTATCAGTGGAGCTCTTCAATGTTTTTGTTGGGGATATATTCCTCCAGAGAGGTTTTATCTGTTTTCACTATTCCTGGGGAAGCACTGCTAATGAAGGGGACTTTGGGTTAAAATTTTTGCTTGAGGTTATTGAGCCCATTAAGCAGTATCAGTTGGCCTCATAAACCTTCATAGTTACAGATTCTTCGGAGACACTCCCCCCCGACTTTTATCCAGTGGTATGGTTAAGCATGTTTATTTTCTGGTCTCTTCTTCAGAGTTGGGTTACTTTTCGTTTATCCTTGTCTCTTGGGTGCAGCCCTTTGGTAGGCCCTTTGTGCAGGCCTGCCTTTAGTTTCCTCTAGTTTTTATACTCCATATAGTTCAGAATAGGAGGATTAATGTCACCACAATTCATGAGAATGCCTCAGAGTGAAAGCTAACTGAAGACTCCCTTGCTCCTTAGGGCTCCCAGATTGATTTTGCTTTTTGACCCAGTGAGACTCCATATTTTCTTGTCAGGTCAGTGCAGCACTTAAAATTTTATCCAGCTCTTTTAAGTTTTCATCAGGAGAGTTTTTTTGGGGTCTGTGGTCTGCCATACTTCTGGAAATGGAATTTAGGCGTCTCATTTGATGGGTGTCTTTCCTACTTCCCCTTACTGCTGAGAGCCACCTTGAGGCAGAAGCGAGGGGCCCGTAGGAGTGGAGGTCACTGATTGCAGGAGTTACATGTTCTCTTATCTTCTGTGTCTGCAGAACCCAGGCCAGGATCCACCCCCGAGGACGTGCCAGCCACGGTTACTGCCTGACCACAAAAGCTTGAGAGTGAACCTACAGAGACTAGAAATTGGGTAGTTGGGGAGAGGAAGGTAGAATAACATCAAGAGGAAATAATATTTGTCATCCTTTCTGGAGCGCTAAGGGGGCATAGGAGGTGTGTTGGGGCAAGATTGATTGTATGTATGTGCATGCATAACTCTTAGAATTGGCTGCAAAGGGGCAGACGGAGTCAGAATTTGCTGAGTGTGGTTTGCTTTTATGGGTTTGTAGGTAGACAGTTCAGTGAGCTTCCTGGCAGACTGGCAGGGTAGAAATTCATTGGAGAGACTGGGCTTAAAAGCTGCCTGAGATAGCATGGGGAGTCTGTGGGATTAGTCCTTTGGTAAGGGCTCTGGCCACACAACATTGAAATTGTATTTTCAGGTGACCAGGACAACCAGTTGATGATGGGGTCATTTGGGCCATGGTTTGCGTGTAGGGTACTAAACAACTCCTAACACTCTTTTTCCTGGCCACATAGCATTTTCACTTTATCACTGTCTATGTGCCTTGTGGTTCGGGAGCTGTTGGTTGGCCCCTGAGAACAGCCCACTGAGCTGGTGGATGGAGGAGAAAAGGCTGGAGGCATTAATGTTCCCCTGCTCTGTCCCTGTTATGGGAGGAAATGGACTTGAGGAGCTACTTTACTGAGTATTTTTGCATTCAAGGCCCTGGGCTCTGTAGTTGAGTCTTAAGGATAGGGGCAAGTGACCCTTTGGTGGTACCTGCCTGAAACGGTCTCAGCTAGGGGATAGCAGAGGGGGCAGAGACCTGTTGTGTCTAATATGTTAGAGAAAATTAGGAAGCAGACCTGGGGAAGATTAGGAAGATGATGCTGAAGGTTTTATTTTAGCCTTCAGGAGAGGCCTTTGGATTCTCATAGAAAAAAAAACATTCTCAAGTCCTCTCCTGACGGTACTGGCCCAGCTCTTGTGTCCGCTGGACCCTGTAAGCAAGTACTGTGTGTATGTATAATGTAGATCAGACCCAGCTACTGTGTAAGTGTTGTATATACAGTTGTGATCAGGCTCAGCCTCCCTGAGTGTGCTTTGGATATATAGTGGAGATCAGACCGAGACTAGAGCAGATAGTATTCATGAAATGGTCTCACAAACAATAAAAGGAGACTGGTTTGTGAAGGGCGTGCTCTGAGTAGCTGACAAAGGGAGCCTTGGCTGAGTTATCGAGAACTGGTCAGAAGCAGTGTGACTGAGCTGACTTCAGGGCCAGGTGGGGCTTCATTTGGTGGGGGTGAGGTAGGAATTAAAATGAATTTTAGACAAGTAAGGCCACATTCACCTGAATAGTGCTGACACTTGTTCTTTGTATTTGGCATTTTTATGGAAGGGTTACATATGCATATGTCAAGCCACCGTGAATGCGATGACTGCAGGTACAAAAGGACCTATGTGTGTTGCATTGATGATGACTTGTGTCACAAAGACTGATACTATTGGTGATGTAATTTTTCAAAATGGTCAACAAGCGTTGGTAAAGTTCTGATAAAAAGATCTTCGTTTTCTCTACTATTAGTATGTTTACTATACTATATTAAAATTGTGCAAAAGGTGTTTTATATTTATGTAAATCTGAGTTTGGTTCTAAGCCCAAGTTAAATCATTGCACATAGGTTTTGGCAGGACAGATGGAAGTTGTGAGGGTATGAGACAGGTGTGGTTGTGGGACTGACCCACACGTGTGGGATCGCTGTAACCCTTTCCACCCCTTCTGCCATTGTGACAACCAACCTTCTCCCCCAACAAATTTTAAAGCACCTTCTGGGTGCTCTGCTTCCTCCCTCCGCTAACCGCCGCTGTTCTGGGTCTGCAGGGAGACCGAGAAGGATATGACGCCAGGCGGGAGAGCTGTTGGAGACGTGCAGAGTGGGGTTGTTGGTCTATTCTTGCTGTTGTAAAAGTGGCCCAGAGTGAGTTGTCCAGACACATTAAAATGCATAGAAAGGTTAACATCTTAAAATGAGAAGTTAACTTGAATCAGCTGTCCAGGTGGTTTGCTGGCAGTCACACCATTTTGAAAATACTGGCATGGGGTCCCTGTGGTGCTGAGATATTTCCATAGCCTGAATCCTTGTGGAACTCACATCATCATTGTGTGCAAATGCAAATCCCCTACTCCTATAATTAATTTCTGTGAGCTCTGGATAGACAGGGATGCCTCCTGACTTCGGTTTGCATTTCCCCCCAGTATTACTGCATTTTATCAGTTTGTTGACAGGGTCAGGGTGACTGGTTTTCCATTAAATGTTTCAAGCGTGACTGTCTAATCTCCTGGAAAACTAAGTAGATGCCCTTGGACACTAACACTTGCCAAATCTGTCGTGATTTTGTTCTGCATCGCTAGGCAAGTCACTTCTTTCCAGGCCTCAGTTTCCTCAATGGTTAAATGGGGGTTATTACAACCTCAAGAAGTTATGAAGGGAATTAAATGCATTGACATCAGTAAAAATGCTTAAAACAGTACTCCACACTTAAATGCTCATTTGCTAAAAGGGTTTCTAATGTCTTTACTCCAAAATATTTCAAACATACAGAAAATACAGAGAAAAATATATCAATATCCATGTCCCCACCTCCCAGATTTAACACATATTAACACATTTTGCCATATTTGATTCAGATTTTTTTTTTAATATGGAGCACTTACGAATTTTCATGTCATCTTTGTGGACAGGCTATGCTAATCTCGGTATTGGTCCAGTTTTAGTACATGTGCTGCCGAAGTGAGCACTCAGATTGTGTAAAAAGAACTAACAGATCTGGTGGGCCTTTCTCTCCCCACGACCCCATCTCATCTTCCACTTCCTCACTCCAGTTTCCCTCCCTCCCCTGTGGGTACCCCCTTCTGTGAAGAGCTAGCATGTAGCTTTCCAGTTCTGGTTTTATACTCCTATCCTGCACATAGTATCTGTTGACAACACAGGGAATTTCTTGTGGGTATTTGTAGTTACGTAAGTGGTGTTCTACACTTTCTCTCTGCAGCTTTGTTTCATTAAGTGTTGTTTTCAGGATCCCTTATGCTTTCTTGGTTGTTCATTTGTTTAAACTTCTATATAATATAATTATATTCATTTCCCAGTTGGTAGTCTTTTAGGTTTTTCTGATGTTTAGCTGTTATGGACAGTGCAGCGGGATGTTCTACTGGCATCTATTAGTAGAAGCCAGGGATGCCATAAACATCCTAGAATGCAGTGGAAGGCCCTCTGCCACCCCACAAGCAAAGACTCATGTAGCCCCAAATGTCATCTACTTTAGAATGTATTTTGGTGTGAGTTTTGAGATGAAGGATTTGTTCTTTTTCCCTCTGAATAACGAGTCGACCCACACACTGTTAAGGTAGTGAATTTTAAGTCAGAGATATTTTTCCCTTAAATGGTAGAAAAGATCCTGTTGCCTTGCTTCTTAAGATACAATTTTTTAAATTGACCTTTCTTGTCTTACAGGTTCTTAGACTCTGTGAGTAAAGACAGCTTTGTCTTCCCAGTTCATCATGGCTTCAACATCCAGGTAGGAGTGCCGTTTGATCAAATGTTTTATTGAAGAATTTATTCCCCTATGTTTTTGAAAGGCCAAGTCCATGACATTTTTAGCTCTTGGCCTCAGTATAACAGTTGGTGTCCAGGAAGTATAAAGGTAGAAGGCAGAGGAGATGGGAGAAGAATGGGGAAAATGGGAAAAGGCCGATGGTTGTGTGGTATGGGTGTGGTCATGTAGCACTAATGTGTACACTCGATAGAAAACCATGACTTCACTTTCCTCATCTTTCAAGATAAAGACACCAGGTGGTTACTCCTGGGGCCACCTCAGTCCCTTCAGGCTTTCTCATGCCTGGGGTTTGAACAGTCATGTGCAGAAGTTGTTTGAGGGTTTGGGGGTGAGGAGGAGCTTGGGCAGTCAAAACTGGTAGAGACCTTGAGCTTGCAGCCCTGGATCTACCCCTGTGAACTGGGTGAGGCCAGGTCAGGAGAGTGTGAAGATGGCTGCTGTCCCCTGAGAACCTTACTCCAAGGCCCATGAGATGGGCTTTGAATTTCCTTTCCCTTCAAACTGGTCTCTTGTCCTGGCCCATGCAGAGGGGGAATGAGTGAATACCTCACCTCGTGGAGGTGAGCGTGGCGGCTGACAGTCAGTCTCCAGGCAGTGAGGTTAGAGCAAATTTCTAATGCAGCCTGAACTCCAGAGTCCACGGGCAGGTCTGCGCTGATGTCGCCTCTGTGGTAAATCCTGTTGCCTTCCTTTGGGATGGAGGGTCCTCACGTGGAGGTTGGGGTCTGCAAAGGGGCACAGGGAAGCTGCAGGGACCTCTGTGCCTACCCTCCCTGCTGAGTCCATTCTCACAGCCAGGGCGATGTGTTTACAGCCTAGATGTGACTCCTCACTGCCCTGTTCCATGGTTTACCCCCACCCTTGGGGCTACCTATGGTAGCTGAACACTGGAAGTCCTGGCCAGGGCCTGTGGAGTCCTGTGGGGCTAGTTCTCTCTGGCTCTGCTCTGCTCTCTTGTCCTCATTGCACCTGCAGCCTCGCTGACCTCCTTGCCGTTCTGCAGATGTCGAATCCCTTCAGTGTCAGGGCCATGTGCCTGTGGTTCTTTCTGTCTGCCTGGGACATCTTGTCTCCAGCTGTCTGCAGGGCTCATTCTCTCATCTCCTTCAGGCGTCCCACCCTGTGAGCCTTCTCTCACCATTCTGTCCAAAATAGCACCCCCGGCTCTACCCCTTTGTTGCATTGTCCCTTATCTGGGACGGCATTCCGCATTCGTTGCTACCTGACACCGTCCTGCATAGCTACTTGTTTGTTGATCTGTTGTCTGACTCCTCCAGTTAGAAATAAAGTGCTGTGCAGGTTGGGAGTGGAGTTTACCCGTTGCCAGCCCCTGAGCAGCACCTGGTTACTGTCTGTGCTCAAATGCAAGTACAGAGAGTCTCCCACTTAGCATGGTTCAACTTAAGATGGTGTAAAAGCCAGATACATTCTGTAGGAACTGTACTTTGAGTATCCATACAGTCACTCTGTTTTTCACTTTCAGTCCAGTAGTCAATAAATTATATGAGCTATTTAATACTTAATTATAAAATAGGCTTTGTGTTAGATGACTTTTTTTCCCAACTATAGGGTTCTGAGCATGTTTAAGGTAAGCTAGGCTAAGCTACGATGTTTGGTAGGTTAGGTGTATTAAATGCATTTTCGACTTATGACGTTTTTAACTCATGAGGGATTTATTGGGATGTAACCTGATTGTAAGTCGAGGAGCACCTATATCACTCACCATCCATTTGGTTCCTGTGTCCACAGGGCCAGAGAGTATCCGGAGTTTCCATGTTTTCCAAATTGATTTGGCTTCTGAATTGCAGTTAGCATACAGTAGGATAGCCGCAAGGGAGCTATCTGAAAATCCACATCTGCTCAGTTCTTGAATTTGGGTAGTGAGAGTTCAAGTAGGGAGAGTTTGAGAATTTGGGGAATGAGGGAAACTTCCATTTGTCAATAAGAGAGGGAAGGTATAGTAAGACAAATGTAATTGCAGAGCTCCTAGGGCTATTGAGTCTGAGGGGACAGGAGTGGGTGTCACTCCAGCTGACCAGGGCTCCCTGTTGCCAGTTTCTGTTATCTGGGGTGATGACAGCAGCATCTGGATTCATCACTAAAGAGGATCCTCTGTTTTAGAACACATCATTTAAGAAGGAAAGTAAGTAGGTAAGACCTCTTTATTCTGTCTCCCATTGTCAAAATACTTCTGCACTTAAAAGCATCATCTGTGGGCTGGGTGCCATGGCTCACACCTGTAATCCCAGCACTTTGGGAGACTGAGGTGGGCGGATCACGAGGTCAGGAGATCAAGACCATCCTGACTAACATGGTGAAACCCCATCTCTACTAAAAAGAAAAAAAGTTAGCGTGGTGTGGTGGCGTGCACCTATAGTCCCAGGTACTCGGGAGGCTGAGGCAGGAGAATCGCTTGAACCTGGGAGGTGGAGGTTGCAGTGAGTTGAGATCGCACTCCTGCACTCCAGCCTGAGTGACAGAGTATGACACCGTTTCAAAAAAATAACAAAAAGCAGAATCTGTGTTTAGCTGGAAAATTTACTTACTGAATGCTGTGCCTTGTGGTGCCAGATCTGTGAAGCCAATCAAATGAAAGTGTTTGATAGAGAGAGAGCATCCTCCTCTTTTCTGCTGAAGCATTGGCTTTCTGGCGTGGCCTCTTCCTGATTCTGTTTCCTGTCGTAACAGAGATGTCATTGCTGGGAGAGGTATCCACTCAAAGGTGAAGTCTGCAAAGCTGCTCGAGGTTCTGAATGCTATGGAGGAGGAAGAGTCCAACAGCAACAGGGAAGAGATTTTCATTGCACCTCCCGACAATGCTGCGGGGGAATTCACTGATGAGGACTCAGGTGATGAAGACGGCCAGCGAGGTGCTCACCTGCCTGGCAGTGTGCTGCATGCTTCAGTCCTGTGTGAGGACTCTGGCACCGGCGAGGATAATGACGACCTGGAGCTGCAGCCGGCCAAGAAGAGGCAGAAAGCAGTTGTGAAACCTCAGCGCATTTGGACAAAAAGAGATATTCGTCCAGACTTTGGCAGTTGGACGGCATCAGATCCTCATATTGAGGATCTGAAAAGCCAAGAGCTGAGTCCTGTGGGCCTTTTTGAGTTGTTTTTTGATGAAGGAACAATTAATTTCATTGTTAATGAAACCAATCGTTATGCTTGGCAGAAAAATGTCAATCTGAGTCTTACGGCTCAGGAATTGAAGTGTGTTTTGGGCATTTTGATTTTAAGTGGGTACATCTCTTACCCAAGGAGAAGGATGTTCTGGGAAACCTCTCCTGATTCACATCATCATCTTGTGGCCGATGCAATTAGAAGGGACAGATTCGAACTAATCTTCTCATACTTACATTTTGCAGATAACAACGAACTTGATGCAGGTGATAGGTTTGCCAAGGTCAGACCTCTTATCATCCGGATGAACTGCAATTTCCAGAAGCACGCACCCTTGGAAGAGTTCTACAGCTTTGGCGAGTCTATGTGTGAGTACTTTGGGCACCGGGGGTCCAAGCAGCTGCACAGGGGGAAGCCTGTGCGACTTGGCTACAAGATTTGGTGTGGGACAACCAGCAGAGGCTACTTGGTGTGGTTCGAGCCCTCACAGGGCACACTTTTTACCAAGCCCGACAGGAGCCTGGATCTAGGAGGCAGTATGGTAATAAAGTTTGTGGATGCGCTTCAGGAGCGTGGTTTTCTGCCATATCACATATTTTTTGACAAGGTTTTTACAAGTGTTAAACTGATGTCCATTTTGAGGAAAAAGGGGGTGAAGGCCACAGGAACTGTTCGTGAGTACAGGACTGAGCGATGTCCCCTAAAAGACCCCAAAGAACTGAAAAAAATGAAGAGGGGTTCATTTGATTACAAAGTCGATGAGAGTGAGGAGATCATCGTGTGCCGCTGGCACGATAGCAGCGTGGTCAACATCTGCTCCAATGCCGTGGGCATAGAGCCAGTGAGGCTGACCAGTCGTCACTCTGGAGCAACTAAAACACGGACTCAGGTCCACCAGCCATCACTGGTGAAGCTGTATCAGGAGAAGGTGGGCGGTGTTGGTAGGATGGACCAGAATATTGCCAAGTACAAGGTGAAGATCCGAGGCATGAAGTGGTACTCAAGCTTTATTGGCTATGTCATTGATGCTGCCCTCAACAATGCATGGCAGCTGCACAGGATCTGCTGCCAGGATGCCCAGGTGGACCTCCTTGCCTTCCGGAGATACGTCGCCTGTGTGTACCTGGAGAGCAATGCTGACACGACCTCTCAAGGAAGGCGAAGCAGGCGGTTGGAGACTGAGAGCCGCTTTGATATGGTTGGACACTGGATTATCCACCAGGACAAGAGGACCCGATGTGCCCTCTGCCACTCACAGACCAACACCCGGTGCGAGAAGTGCCAGAAGGGTGTCCATGCCAAGTGCTTCAGGGAGTACCACATCCGGTGACATCAGGAGACATACTTTTTTGGGGTATAATGAGATGTTCACAGTTAAATACAGATAGCAGTTGATTACTTCTGTTTTGTGTTGGAAAAAAGACCTGAATTTCTGATGACTTGGTTTTCTCTTTTCTCCCTACCCACAATTGTTATCTTTTTTATTGTGTTCTATTATGCCTACATGTGATATCAATTAATATTTATATTCATTTATATTTATATTTTGAACTTATTTATTTAAAGTTGTGGGACCACATTTTATTCAGATAAAAGTTGTGCTTTGGGGTATATTTGAATCCTAGGAAGAAGAATCAAAGGAAAACTTGCAAGAACAGTAAGAAGACTTGACCATTGCATGCCATGGTTTATAATCTAAGATAGGCAATAGTGTATAAATATCATGTAAATGTGATGGATTTCTTAATCCTATTTATTTCATATTAATCTAAGGTTATCAAACTTTCCAAGGATAGATAATCTGCCTTGTATTTAGTCAGAGGGCTAGAGTTTCAGAGTTCATATTTTCTTGATAAAAATATTTTCCTAATACACATATATCAATGTGGGATTCATTTTATAAAAAATTATTTTTTTAATTTTTGTGGGCACATAGTAGGTGTGTATTTTTATGGGTTACGTGCGATATTTTGATACAGACATGCAATGTGGAAAAACCACATCAGGGTAAATGGGCTATCCATCCTGTCAAACATTTGTCCTTTGTGTTACAAACCAATTATACTGCTAGTTATTTTAAAATGTACAATTAAATTATTTTTAACTATATTCACCCTGTTGTGCTAGCAAATACTAGGTCTTACTCATTCTTTCTATTTTTTCATACCCATTAACTATTGCCACTCTCCCCCACCCCCTAACCACCCTTGCCAAGCTCTGGTAACCTTCTTTCTACTCTGTATGTCCATGAATTCAATTGTTTTCATTTTTAGCTCCCACAAATAAGTGAGAACATCTGAAGTTTGCCTTTCTTTGCTTGGCTTATTTCACTTAACATAATGACCTCCACTCCCATTCATGTTGTTGCAAATGACTGAATATCATTTTTTTTGTGGCTAAATATTAATAATACTTCATTGTGTATATGTACATTTTCTTTATCCATTCTTCTGTTGATGGACACTTAGGTTGCTCCCAAATCATGACTGTTGTGAATAGTGCAGAAGATAAACGTTGGAGTTCAGATCTTTCTTCAGTATACTGATTTTTTTTTCTTTTGGGTGTGTACTTAGGAATGGGATTCCTGAATAATATGGTAGGTAGCTCTATTTTAGTTTTTGAGGAACCTTCAAACTGTTCTCCATACAGGTTGTACTAATTTACATTCCCACCAACAGTATTCGAGGGTTCCCTTTTCTCCACATCCTTGCCAGCATTTGTTATTGTCTGTCTTTTGGATTAAAGCCATTTTTACCGGGATGAGATATCTCAATGTAGTTTTGACTTGCATTTTTCTGTTGATCAGTGATGTTGAGTACCTTTTTGTATACCTGTTTGCCATATGTACTTTTTGTTTTTGTTTTGAGATGGAGTTGCCTTGTCACCCAGGCTGGAGTACAGTGATGCGTGATCTCGGCTCACTGCATCCTCTGTCTCCTGAACTCAAGTGATTCTCCTGCCTCAGCCTCCCAAGTAGCTGGGATTATAAGCACCCACCACCACACCCGGCTAATTTTTCTATTTTTAGTAGAGATGGTGTTTCACCATGTTGGTCAGGCTGGTCGTGAACTCTTGAGCTCAAGTGATTTGTCCACCTCAGCCTCCCAACGTACATCTTTTTTTTTCTTTTTTTAAATTATACTTTAAGTTCTGGGGTACATGTGCAGAATATGCAGTTTTTGTTACATAGGTATACACATGCCATGGTGGCTTGTTGCACCCATCAACCTGTCACCTACATTAGGTATTTCTCCTACTGTCATCCCTCCTAGCCTCCCACCCCCCGACAGGCCCTGGTGTGAGTTTCCCCTCCATATGTCCATGTGTTCTTATTGTTCAACTCCCACTTATGAGTGAGAACATGCGGTGTTCAGTTTTCTCTTCCTGTGACAGTTTGTTGAGAATGATGGTTTCCAGCTTCATCTATGTCCCTGCAAAGGACTTGAACTCATCCTTTTTTATGGTTGCATAGTATTCCGTGCTGTATATGTGCCACATTTGCTTTATCTAGTCTATTATTGATGGACATTTGGGTTGGTTCCAAGTCTTTGCTATTGTGAATAGTGCTGCAATAAACATACGTGTGCATGTGTCTTTGTAGTAGAATGATTTATAATCCTTTAGGTATATACCCAGTGATGGGATTGCTGGGTCAAATGGTATTTCTAGTTCTAGATTCTTAAGGAATCGCCACACTGTCTTCCACAATGGTTGAACTAATTTACACTGCCAACAGTGTAAAAGCGTCCCTATTTTTCCACATCCTCTCCAGCATCTATTGTTTCCTGACTTTTTAATGATCGCCATTCTAACTGGCATAAGATGGTACCTCATTGTGGTTTTGATTTGCATTTCTCTAATGACCAGTGATGATGAGCATTTTTTCATATGTCTGTTGGCTGCATAAATGTCTTCTTTTGAGAAGTGCCTGTTCATATCCTTTGCCTACTTTTTGATGGGGTTTCTTGTTGTAAATTTGTTTAAGTTCTTTGTAGATTCTGGGTATTAGCCCTTTGTCAGATGGCTAGATTGCAAAAATTGTCTCCCATTCTGTAGGTTGCCTGTTCACTCTGATGATAGCTTCTTTTGCTGTGCAGAAGCTCTTTAGTTTAATTAGGTGTTTTAGACATGAAGTCTTTGCCCATGCCTGTGTCCTGAATGGTATTGCCCAGGTTTTCTTCTACTATTTTTATGGTTCTCGGTCTTACATTTAAGTCTTTGATCCGTCTTGAGTTGATTTTTGTATAAGGTGTAAGGAAGGGGTCCAGTTTCAGTTTTCTGCGTATGGCTAGTCAGTTTAACCCAACTCTATTTATTAAATAGGGAATCTTTTCACCATTGCTTGTTTTTGTCAGGTTTGTCAGAAATCAGATGGTTGTAGATGTGGGTGTTGTTTCTGAGGCCTCTGTTCTGTTCCATTGGTCTATGTATCTGTTTTGGTACCAGTACCATGCTGTTTTGGTTACTGTAACCTTGTAGTATAGTTGAAGTCAGGTATCATGATGCCTCCAGCTTTGCTCTTTTTGCCCAGGATTATCTTGACTATGTGTACTCTTTTTGGTTCCATATGAAATTTAAAGTAGTTTTCTCCAATTCTGTGAAGAAAGTCAGTGTTAGCTTGATGTGGATAGCATTGAATCTATAAATTACTTTGGGCAGTATGACCATTTTAATGATATTGATTCTTCCCATCCATGAGCATGGAATATTTTTCCATTTGTTTGTGTCCTCTCTTCCTTCCTTGAGCAGTGGTTTGTAGTTCTCCTTGAAGAGGTCCTTCACATCCCTTGTAAGTTGTATTCCTAGGTATGTTGTTCTGTTTGTAGCAATTGTGAATGGGAGTTCACTCATGATTTGGCTCTCTGTCTGTTATTGGTGTATAAGGATGCTTGTGATTTTTGCACATTGCTTTTATATCCTGAGACTTTGCTGATGTTGTTTATCAGCTTAAGGAGATTTGGGGCTGAGATGATGGGGTTTTCTTTTTTCTTTTTTTTTTTTTGACACGGGGTCTTGCTCTGTCGCCCAGACTGGAGTGCAGTGCAGTGGCACGATCTTAACTCACTGCAAGCTCTGCCTCCCAGGTTCACGCCATTCTCCTGCCTCAGCCTCCTGAGTAGCTGAGACTACAGGCGCCTGCCACCACGCCCAGCTAATTTTTTGTATTTTTAGTAGAGACGGGGGTTTCACCATGTTAGCCAGGATGGTCTCGATCTCCTGACCTTGTGATCCACCTGCCTTGGCCTCCCAAAGTGCTGGGATTACAGGCATGAGCCACCATGCCTGGCCAAGACAGTGGGGTTTTCTAAATACACAATCATGTCATCTGCAAACAGAGACAATTTGACTTCCTCTCTTCCTATTTGAATACCCTTTATTTCTTTCTCTTGCCTGATTACCCTGGCCAGAAGTTCCAATACAGTGTTGAATAGGAGTGGTAAGAGAGGGCATCTTTGTCTTGTGCTGGTTTTCAAAGGGAGTGCTTCCAGTTTTTGCCCATTCAGTATGATATTGGCTATGAGTTTGTCATAAATAGTTCTTACTATTTTGAGATACGTTTCATCGATACCTAGTTTATTGAGAGCTTTTAGCATGTAGGGCTGTTGAATTTTGTCGAAGGCCTTTTCTGCATCTATTGAGATAATCATGTGGTTTTTGTCTTTGGTTCTGTTTATGTGATGGATTACATTTGTGGATCTGCATATGTTGAACCAGTCTTGCATCCCAAGGATGAAGCCGACTTGATCGTGGTGGATAGGCTTTTTGATGTACTGCTGGACTCGGTTTGCCAGTATTTTGTTGAGGATTTTACATCGATGTTCATCAGGGATATTGGTCTGAAATATTCTTTCTTTGCTGTGTCTTTTGCCAGGTTTTGGTATCAGGATGATGCTGGCCTCATAAAATGAGTTAGGGAGGATTCCCTCTTTTTCTATTGTTTGGAATAGTTTCACAGAAGGAATGGTACCAGCTCCTCTTTGTACCTCAGTTGGAATTCGGCTGTGAATCCATCTGGTTCTGGACTTTTTTGGTTGGTAGGCTATTAATTACAGCCTCAATTTCAGAACTTGCTATTGGTTTATTCAGGGATTCGACTTCTTCCTCGTTTAGACTTGGGAGGGTGTATGTGTCCAGGAATTTACCTATTTCTTCTAGATTTTCTAGTTTATTTGCATAGATATGTTTATAGTATTCTCTGATGATAGTTTGTATTTCTGTGGGATCAATGATGAATCCCTTATATCTTTTTTTATCACCGTCTATTTGATTCTTCTCTCTTTTTTCTTTATTAGTCTGGCTAGCGGTCTATTTTGTTGATCTTTTCAAAAACCAGCTCCTGGATTCATTGATTTTTTTTTGAAGGGTTTTTCGTGTCTCTATCTTCTTCAGTTCTGCTCTGATCTTGCCACCAGCCCACCTGGCATCATCATTTACATGGAAATGTTGGGACTGAGCTGACCTCATGCCTCTCAGTTCCGAGCCAGCTTTCTCTCCCTCTGGCTCTTATCCAGCCTGTTAAACATTAAATAATCAGT